GGGCTGTTGACAGGCTCAAAGAGGATCCTGGGCAGCTGTACAAATAAGGAGAAGGTGGCCATCACTGGGAGGAGGTTACCCCCTGGCAGCCAGGGGATGGTCAGTGGGCCATGGTGATCCCAGGCCCAGAGGGCTTCTCCTGCAGGACCAGAGGGAACATGGGGAGGGGGGTGGGGCAGGGCAGCTACTCATTGCCATCCATCCTCTGCCCTTCCCTGGGCCTCACTCTGCAAAAATGCCTGAGAAATAAATTTCCTCCTTGGGAGTGGTGAGTCCACTGGGCAGGACACAGTCACCATACTACACTCTCTTCCTCACCGGGAATTCTCCCCACCATTGAGTCAAAAGGCATAGCCAGGCCCTCTGGGAGACACAGTCTCTCCGTTTCCCTTCTGTCCCAAGGAGATGAAACTGTCAGGTGTGGGAGAGGCACAAGGGGACTCTCCCACCTTCCTAATCCTTTGGAGGCAACAGATTCAACAGATCCTTCTCCTCCCCACCCACCCTGCAGTTTTCATTCCTGTGGGTGGGCTTGTAAACCACTACCCTTCCCCGGGTTGGGTGACCTTGGGCAGTGGCTGAACCTCTGTTTCCTCGTCTGTGAAGTGGGGGTGATAGGACCTTTCTCTTAGTGTGGAGGTAAGGATTGAAAGAGGCATGGGATTAGAAGGGGGTTCTCAAACAGGAGAGGTATGAGAAATGCAGGTGCCCAGGCCTCAGCCCCAGCATTCCCATTCACTGAGTTCTGAGCCTAAACTTTAGGAAACATAGGACTTTAAGAGAGGGGGAGCCCCTCACTCTTTGCTGTGTGGTGAATTACCTTGGAGCTTACCAAACACCCCAAAAGCCCAGGCTACCCTACCCCCAGACTTCTGGAATTAGAATCTTGGGGAGTTTCCATGATGTTGACACCTTCCTTGTGAACCTGCTGTCCCTTTCCAGCAGGTGGACCTAGCTGGCCAGTTGGCTTTGACCAAAGCCCGAAATGGGCATTTTCTTTGATCCCCAGGGGAAATGAAAGGCATTTCCTCTGTCTCCAGATAGATCCCAGCCAGCTCCTGAGCACTTAACAGAACCTCTAGCATTTTAGGGGCCTGTGAGACTTGTTTCCTTGAGGATTGTGAATGGAGGGGGTGGTAGGAGGGGCCAACAGCAGGAGCAAGCACTGGGGGGCACCTGGAGGCAGGATTTGGGAAATAGCCTGATCCTGAGGCTGGGTTAATTCTTGGCTGGGAGCTTGGGTCTAGGGCAGGGACAGACTTTAATCAAAGGATCACACAAATATATATTACTTGGAGGCCAGTTTGAAGAGGGGGTAAATGTCGAGGAAGAGACATTAAGGAGGTAACATTTCAGTAGTGACTTAAAGGTTGAGTGGGCATGAGCTGGCAATGCCAAGAATTGGGAGGGGAAGCCCTGCAGGGTTGGGGAGCGGGCTCCCAGTGCGGGCAGGGCCTGGGTTCTAGCAGCCAACCTCCAGAGCCTGTTTCCCTATTTACAAAGTGCGTGGGAACCTGCCTTGTCCTCCCGCATCCGCGAGGATGGGGGAAGGTGCCTAGGAAAGGGCTTGGGGAGCGGCCCATCGAGCCCCTCCTGTCGGGCTGGCCCAG